GGCTTGAGGGGTGGGTACCTGGGGCAGGACACCCGCGAAGGCCTTTCCCGAGGCCCGTCTTTGCTCGGTTAGGCTCCCGGTCTCCACTTAGTGTCTCTCCTGCCTCAGCCGCTTCCTGGCCTCCTCTACGATTTGGGCTGGAGACTACGCCAGCTGGAGGACAGGGGAAGAGGTGTGTGTGTGGAGGGGTCAGCTGCGCCCACTCCGCCCCCACCTCCCTAACCCTATGCACCTAAATTAAGGTCCTAGGTCCAATGGTAGAGGCTGGGGCGGGGCGGGGTGGTGTCTGGTGGGGCTGGTCCTTTATGCGGGCAATGAACCTCCTGCCGTTCCTGGGTGCCAGGTTCCCGGGTTCCGTGTGAACAGGTGTTAGCTTGGACCCCACCCGGCCAGGACACTGCAAGCTGACAGAGGACTGCTTCTGAGTGGCCCAAACTGGTTCCCTTTCCTGCCTGCCATTCTCGGTGTAACACCGACGGCACTTGGTTCCCAAATCCTTAACAAATTGGGAGTGTCGAATTACAAGCCGAGAAGGAAGGCCTTTTCCCCGCAGCTGTTCTCCACGTCTGTGTCCCTCCCCCGGTCTGCTTCTTCCCGATGTTGCACTTCTGGCGTTTCACTCGTGCAGAAGCTCGTGCCTACCGGAGCACAGTCTCGGCCAAAGTTGGGCAGTGCCTCCTCCCCCAGGAGATCTGCTCAGAGTTCCTTACATCTCTTCCTCTCCCGATGCTTTCAGCAGAGGGGCAGCAGCACTAAGCACATAGTAGATACTCAAGAAATGAAACAACTTCCAGACTAATCAGTACAAAAGCAGAAACGGGTGGACTGCATCTTAGCTCGGGAGTAGATGTTTGCCTATCATGGGAGGGGTGGGTGGGGTGGCGGGGGGAATTGGTTTTATCCCTAGCACTGCAAAGAGAGAGGAGGGGCGGGATGAAAGGAGAGACTTGTTAGGGGGCAAAAACACAGACGCCACATAAATTTTTTAAGGATCGAGTTTGTTTTGCTTGTAATATTGACTTAACATAAGAGAGCAGCTCCCAGGGGCATCTTCCCTCTGGCCCATCATGTATGCAGCCTGGTTCAAAAGCAGGGAAGGCTGGTTCCCTGAGCTCTGTTTAAAAGAAAAGAGGAACATTCTACATAAATTGCTTTAAAACTTTTACAAAAGAAATGATAGAAAGGGGACCCTACAACTCCGCTCCTCATCTAACTAGGTGCACCGGGACCTGGAGGAGCTGGATCA